TAACAATAACAGCGTTAATAACGGCATTAATAACAACAATTACAACGTTAATAACAGCGTTAATAACGGCATTAATAACAACAATTAATAACAATAACAGCGTTAATAACGGCATTAATAACAACAATTACAACGTTAATAACAGCGTTAATAACGGCATTAATAACAACAATTACAACGTTAATAACGGCGTTAATAACAACAATAAGAGCGTTAATAACAACAGTTACAACGTTAATAACAACAATAAGAGCATTAATAATAATGAGCGTTAATAACAATAACAGCGTTAACAACAACAATTACAACGTCAGTAACAACAGTAACAGCGTTAATAGCATTAATAACAACAATAAGAGAATTAATAACAATAAGAGCGTTAACAACAATAACAGCGTTAATAACATTAATAACAACGATAACAGCGTTAATAACAACAATAACAGCGTTAATTACAGCATTAATAACAACGATAACAGCGTTAATAACAATAGCAGCGTTAATAACGGCATTAATAACAATTACAGCGTTAATAACGGCATTAATAACGGCATTAATAACAATTACAGCGTTAATAACGGCAATAACGGCATTAATGACGGCATTAATAACAGCAATAACAGCATTAATAACATCATTAATAGCCGTTCCGCGGGCGCGGCAGGGGCCGGGCAGTGCTGAGCTCTCCGCTCCCGTTGTGTTTTCGGTGCCGTTCTCCCCCGCCGGGGCTCTCAGCGCTCTCTGTCCCCTCTGCTCTCACAGAGCCCCGTCCCCATCGCCCCGGGCCGCAGGCGGCGCTCGCGGATGCTGAGCAAGGGCGTCCAGGCAGGTGAGAGCCCAAATTCCACATTTCCTGCCTTGGGGACCCCCTCGGCAGCCGGGGTGTCTGGGGGTGTTTGGTGTTTGGGGGTGTTTGAGGATGTTTGGGGGTGTTTGTTTGGTGTTTGGGGGACGTTTCTGCACTCCCCAAATCCACTGCAGTGCTGCCAGAGCAGGGTGCTGTGCTCAATCAACAGCAGCTCTTTAATTACCACTCTTGGGCTGCTCTAATTACCAATTTTCTCACTTGTAACTTGATTAACCCCAGCTCCTGCCCCGTTGCACTGGCAAAGGTGATCTGCCTTTTTTTTTTTTTAATCTGTTTTTTTCCCCAAGACATCTGTTCCTCCCAGAATGGCTTTTGTAGGCATGTGCTATTTCAGAAGTGTTCCATGTTCTTCCTGGGAATATTTTGGGTGCTCAGTTCTATTTCAGTCCTGAGCTGCTCCTGGCCTGGTGCAGTTCTGCACTTGGGTTTTGTTTTTTTTTTTTTTTCTGGTGGTAATTTGCAGTTTCTTCATTGCTTTCATTTCCACGCCAACTCCCCATCATCACATCGAGTAATGGCCTTGGTTTATTCATCAGAGACTGCAATTATTTATTTATTACTGCTTGTGTGCAAGCAGATTGAATCAGGGAAGGATTTTCATAGGGCAGAGTTAATTCCAGTTGAATTCCCACCCCCAGATCAATGGAGATTTTGCTTGGGGTACTTGGTTTTAATTTCACTCAGATTATCACACACTAACAATCCTGAACCACTGGAAACTCCCCTTGGTTTGGGGAGTGGCAATAGAGAAAGTTTTGGCTGTTGGAGGTGGGTGAGGAAAGGGAATTTTCCCTCTGGGTTGGCAGGGGGATTGTCCCTGTCCTGGCACACACAGGGGGGGCTGTCCCTTGTTTGGGATATTTGATTTTAATTTCACTCAGATTATCACACAATAACGAAAGTAACAAACTCACCTTGGTTGGGGGAAGTGGGAATGGAAGTTTCTGGCTGGAGATGGGTGAGGAAAGAGAATTTTCCCTCTGGGTTGGCAGGGGGATTGTCCCTGTCCTGGCACACCCAGGCTGAGGTGCTGTCCCTGTCCTGGCACAC